GGTCAAGTTGATCTGGAGTTTGAGACACATAGGTTGGATAGAGCTAGGTGTAGTAGGTTCTCTGGGTGGGGTGATTATTTTGTGGAATCAAAACTCAGTGCAAGGAGTTGACTCCTTATTGGGCTCTTTCTCATTTTTAATGCTGGTGCTGGGGGGGGACCTTTTTATGCTTAGGATTCTTATGTTTTTTGCTTTTTGTTGGTTTCTTCTTCACTCCTTTAGGAGTTTGTATCTTTAAACAATTTTGTTTCTTTTCATTTCTTCAATGGAAAGTTCGTATCTTGTTTAAAAAAAAAAAAATTAACATACCTGTATGAAGAATGGCCTTTTTACTTGGTCAGACTTTAGGGGCTCTCCTTCTGCAATGCACCTTGATATATTTCTCCTTTCTAGAAGTTGGGTTGATTCTTTTAAACAAGTGGAGCTGGTTCGTCTCTTTAGAACTACCTCAGATCACTTCCCTATTCAACTTAATATGGGAAATAAAAAATGGGGACCTCCCATTTTCGGTTAAACAATGTGGTTGGATCATCCTTCCTTTCTGACAAATGTTGATTCTTGGTGGAGCTCCTTCCACGGCCGAGGTTTGCTTTTATAAAAAAGTTAAAAGGCCTTAAATGTCACTTGATTAAGTGGAATAAGGAATCTTTTGGCATTGTAGAATTGAGCTTGAAGAAGGTCCAGGACAGCATTGATGAGTTAGGCAAATTAGAGGAGGTGGGAGGAATGAACAGTGCCCTAAATGCTAAGAGATCAAAATTGAAGGCTACTGGACTTTAAAAAGCAAAGGAAAAATGGGCTAAAAAATGCGAGCTTCAATGTATAAAGGAGGGTGACGGGAATTCCCATTTTTTCCCACTTGTGGACTTCGGCTAGAAATTCGAAGTCCTTAATCTCTATCCTAGAAAAAGAGGATGGTACTGTGCTCAACACTGAAGATGAGATTGTGCAGGAAGTGGTTGAGTTTTTTGCCAAGTTGTACCGGTGTTATCGAGGGAAAAAGGTTTGTGGTGGAAGATTTGCAGTGCGGCTTGTCTCCAATTGGAAGGATTGGCTTGAAATACCTTTCAAAAAATAAGAGATTCATCAGGCAGTTTGTAGTCTTGGTAATCTGAAGTCCCTTGGCGCTGATGGCATGACCAACGGGTTTTTTAAAAAAGCTTGGAACATTTTGAAGCGTGATTTTTTTGGAGTGTTCCAAGATTTGTTTTCAAAACTTCATCATCAATCGCTGCACTAATGAGACCTATATTTGTTTGATTCCAAAGAAAACCAAGGCGATGAAGGTTGGGGATTTTGGACCTATTGGCTTGATCTCTTCCATTTATCAGATCATTGCGAAGGTTTTATCAGAGAGACTCGAGAAAGTTTTTCCTTTGATTATCCATGATGCGCAGTGGCCTTTATTGAAGGAAGACAAATCCTAGATGCGATTTCGATGACCTTGAAATTGGTGGGAGAATGGGATGCAGAAGGAAAATCAGGTTTTATTTTGAAGCTTGATTATAAGAAAGCTTATGGAAAAGTAGATTAGGACTATCTTGATGCCATTTAGAGGAGAAAATCTTTGGCCTAAGATGGAGAAAGTGGATCAAGGAATGTTAGTCCTTTACCAACTTCTCAATTATGATTAACGGTAGAATGAGGGGAAAGAATTTTGCCTGACGGGGCTTAAAGGCAAGGCGATCCCTTATCTCCTTTCCTATTCAGACATATTTAGTCAGGGTTCACTTCTGCTACCAAAGGAAGTTCATAAGAGGTCTTTTGGTGGGCAAAATGAGATTAAATTTCTCGCCTACAATATGTTGATGATACTATTATTTTTTGTCTGGAGCAGGATGATCTTCTCTCTAACTGGTGGCTGGTGATCGTTGTCTTTCTAGCTGCTTTAGGCCTCTCCTTAAATTTAGGCAAAACTTCTTTGACGGTATAAATCTGGAGCATAGCACCCGTCTGACAGGCTTTGGAGTTGGGCTGTAAAGTGGAGAAGCTCCCCTTCTCCTACTTGGGAATTCATTGGGATGCAACTACTGAAGTCTTTTACTATGTTAGACAAGGAAAAAGGTTGATAAATTGAGCAACTTAACCCTCTCTAAAGGGGGAAGATTGATGCTTGTTCAATTGGTGATCAGTAGTCTCCCTCTTTACTTTCTCTATCCTTAAAGCACCAAAGGGAGTATCGAAATTGAAGAGTTAGCGAGGATTT